ACAGTGTTTTAGCAGGCTGTAGGGGTTACAGAGCTTATGGGGTTTATCGGGTTTGTTGGGCTTAGTGGTCCAGCTTCGAGTTTAAGGTGTTCAAGGGATGAAGACTCGTACCCTAAAGGTTCCCCTTAGTATGCTCCTCACTCGGCCTAAAGGATCTTGAATGGGGTGTCCTTATGGGGATACAAGGAATATGAACCCTGCTTCATGTCATGTTCGACAGGGCACACAGATGTAAGAACTACATGGGAGTGGAGGGATGCTTCTGTGCACCCCTGAGCTTTGGAACCCCTACACCCTAAACTCCAAACCGCAAACTCTAGGCCCTAAACTCTGAAACCCTTAAATCCGAATCTGATAATCTAAAACGCCTGAACTCGAAGCTCTGAAGCCCGCAAACCCTGAACTTTCATCGAAACTCTGAAACCCTTAAACCCGTAAGCCCTAAACACTCTAAACCCTAAGCTCCCTATTCCTTAATCAACCAGCAGCTGACTTTCACGCTTTCTTGGGTTCCTTATGTTTAATTAGGAAGAATGATGTTTAACCTTTTTATTCCTTGGTTATTGCAGAAGTAAGATTCGGCAACCCCTTGAGCCCTCAAACCTCGACCCCTGAACCCTAAACCCTAACCCCTAAACCCTAAACCCTACACCCACCAGCCCTAAAGATTCAACCCCTGGAGCCTTAAACCCCTCCAAACCTTGAACCCATCGGGTTTAGGCTTTAGGGTTCAGGGTTTAGGGTTGACGGATTTAGGGTTCAGAGTTTAGGGTTGAGGGTTTCTGGCTTATAGAGTTTCAACACCTTCCTCCGTTGGCCAAGCATACGGTGAGTTGCCATGTGTGGTTCATCCGCCAGCTCTACAGCAAGCTAGATTTGGATGACCTGTGGCACGACGCTGACATGTGTGACGTCATTCGGTACCTTCGAGGGCCCAAGCACCTCGAGATCCCGGAGTCCTGGCGACCTTTTCTTCCCGTTCTCCAAACTCTGTGTGAGCTGCTGCCAGTGTTGCACTCTTGGCCAAGTGGCAGCCCACAAGCCTTGGCACTCCACATGCAGCATTGTCATCCGCAGGCGAACAGCGTTCGCAGGGCCAAGCCAACTCAAGGGCCGGGCGAAGTGCAGCCCTAAACCCCAAACCCCAAACCCCAAATCCTTAGCCCTTAAAGCCTTAAGCCCTCAAAATCTTAAACCCTCAACTCCCCGAACCCTCAAACCCTTGAACCCTTGAACCCTCAAACCCTCAAACCCCTCAACCCCTTGAACCCTCAAACCCTCAAATCCCGGAACCCTCAAACCCTTAAGCCCTTGAAACCTTGAACCCTTGAACCCTTGAACCCCTCAACCCCTTGAACCCTCAAACCCCTCAACCCCTTGAACCCTTGAACCCTCAAACCCTCAAGTCCCGGAACCCTCGAAACCTTGAACTCTCGAACCCTTGAACCCTCAAACCCTTAAACCCTCAAACCCTTAAACCCTTGAGCCCTGGCCTAGGTCCTAGGTTGAACGTAGGTGCACTGGACTCCCAGGACTGGGAGGTCCTAGATCTCGGAACCGTGAACTTGATTGCCTGCAGTAGGGCTTTAGGGCTTTAGGGTTTAGAGTTTAGGGTTTAGGGTTTAGGGCTAGGGTTTAGGGTTTAGGGTCTAGGGAAACTAGGCAACTGTCTGTTTGCCCCTCATTCTACCACGAGAGCCCCCGGACTTCCCCCAAAGTATCCCCACGTTCCCGACTCCGGGGCTTCCGAGGTGCGGTGTCCATGTTGTCCTGCCGGCCGTTTGCCACGGGCCTTAGGGTTTAGGGTTTAGGGTTTAGGGTTTAGGGTTTAGGGTTTAGGGTTTAGGGTTTAGGGTTTAGGGTTTACGTAGGCTTTAGGGTTTAGGGTTTAGGGTTTAGGGTTCAGGTTTTATTGTTCAGGGATCTTGGAGGCTGCATTGCCTCGGCGCATTGAGAGCCGACTCGGAAGTCAAGGGATTCTAGGGTTTAGGGTTTAGAGTTTAGGGTTTAGGAACCCTAAACCCTAAACCCTAAACCCGAAACCCTAAACCCTAAACCCTAAACCTTAGGAGCTACTACATTGATGATTCCAACACGATCAAGCACAAGGTGCTTAGAGGCGAGCTCTTTTGGGCCCAGGCCATCTCGGCCGGAACATGCTTGCATGGCATCGCTCCTATTAGGTTTAGGGGTTTAGGGTTTAGGGTTTAGGGCTATGATTCCCCAGATCCAGATGCACGTGTGGGGGGGGGGGGGGGGGGGTACATGTGGGAGGCAACACGTTGGATGATGAGCGCGGTATAGGGGTCTTGGTACAGGCCAGCTTTGTCATGGAAGCCGCCATACGCATTGGCATCAGGCGAAAGGCTGAAGTGCTGCCCAACTGGATTGCTAACAGCCACCACGCAGTCATTGCGGGCCGTTCCAACGTTCAGCTCGTCAACGATTACAGTTCTGGAGGTTTAAGGTAGCCCCTAATTCAACCCGAAACGCCTTGGGTCCTAGGATTTAGGGTCTAGGTGCTGAGTAGGTTTCGCTTATCAAGCTTGTGGTACTAGAACCCACTCATGGCCAAAATGGTAGACGCTAAACCCTATTTAACCCCTCAACCCTAAACCTAGCAGTTTGGGGGGGGGGGGGTGTCCTGTGAAAAAGCAGAGTTCAGGCTGGAAACTGGACAGGTATCAGAATGAATCATGGGGGGCTACAAAACCCTTGGCCTCCCAACCTCTGGACCCTGGACCCCAAACCTTAAACCCCTAAACCCCTAAACCTCTAAACCCTAAACCCCGAAGCACGAAACCCTAAATAAGCCCTAAACCTAAACAACCCGATGCCCGGGATCCAACTGGTGCCAGGCCTCTTCGTGCTGATGCAACTGCTGGTGGCCGTGCCTTGGATGATCTGAGTTCTTCAGGGTTTACAAGGGTTTTTTTGAAACCCGAAGCCCGAAATCTCAACGCGCTCTAAAACCACCAGAAGCCTCAAGTACCCAGGCCTTTGGGATTTGTGAGGTTTTGGGGCTTTCGGGTTTAGGGTTTCGGGGCACCCTTTTGTTCACATTCATCGCACAGTGGATTTTAACCTTCAAGCCTGGACAAAATCCGTTGAGGCCCTAAGCCCTTCTAAATGAATGCTGGACCGTCAAGCCCTACATACATCCTGAACCCGAACCCGACTCCCCTCGCCAGACCTTTAGGGTTTAGGGTTTAGGTTTAAGGTTTAGGGTTTAGGGTTTAGGGTTTAGGGTTTAGGGTTTAGGGTTTAGGGTTTAGGGTTTAGGGTGTGCTGAGTAGGCAACCTCTAACCCCCACCCCAATCCCATGAACTGAGCCCTAATCACCTCTATAAGCCTACACGACCCTACCAAAAAGCCCAGGTAACCCTACCATAACCCGCGTAACCCCACATCACCCCACGCAACCCCACCCTAGGCCCTAAACCCAGAGCCCTAAACCCTAATCCCTAATGCCCTAAAAGCCCCATGGAGGTCCTGGTGGGCGCCCTCTGGAAGGGCGGCGTAGGGGGGCCCAGCAAGCACCGATGGGTCAAGACACTCTCTGGGTGCTGATTTAGGAGGGCTTAGGGCTTATATAGGGCTTAGGGCTTAGGGTTTAGGGCTAGGGTTTACGGTTTAGGGCTTCGGGTTTCGGGTCTCTCGCCATATAGGAGAGTCAGGTTTTGGAGTGCAGGTTTCGGGGTTTAGGGCTTAGAGTTTCGAACCTTGCGCACTGCTGAGTGCTGCAGGGAGTGCCTTCGGACCTGTCCCAGAAACCCAGCACCCCAACAAGCCTAAACCCCAAACCCGAAACTACCCCCCAGTCCGAGGTAGAACTCCAGATCTTCCGAAACACCCTTGATTCAGGAATGTACCCGAATTTATACTAAGGGTCATGATTATGTGTCCGGGCAATCCTGAATCCTAAGCCCTAGATCCTGAGTTCTCAGCCCTGAATCCTGAATCCTAAACCCTGCAATCTGAGTCCTGCACCCTGAACCCTGAATCCTAAGCCCTGAATCTGGAATCCTGAGCCCTAGGCAGCTGAACCCTAAGCCCTAAAATCTGAGTCCTGAGCCCTGAATCCGGAGTCCTAAGCCCTGAATCCTGAATCCTAAGCCCTAAATCCTGAATCCTAAGCCCTAAATTCACTTAATCCTGAACCCTAACCCTAAACCCTAAACCCGAATAAGGGCACAATCCTGAAGACCCCAGGACTTGAATACCGACTTCAGCGACTTCCTGCGTGCCAACACCGGTGCGTCCTTGCCCGGACCCTGATCGGGGGGTTAGGGTTTAGGGTTTAGGGTTTAGGGTTCAGGGGTGTAGGGTTTAGGGGTATAGGGGTTAGGGCTTCGGGTTTCGGGTTTCGGGTTTAGGCCCTGAGTGTTTCGGGTCCATCTGTGGGTAGTTTTATTTATGGTCTCTTGCCTTGTTTTGGTTTCGGGTTTAGGATGACCTTGCTTACAGGGTTCTGAAGTATGGGCCCATAGGGGTACCCGTTTAAGGGACCAAATTAAGGGACCATGTTACTGCCCTTAAGAGTCCAGGGTTTGGGGCCTCGGGTTTTACGGCGTATCGAGGGTGCAGGCTCCGAATCCCTAAACCCTAAACCCCAAACCCTAAACCCTTTAACCCCTTTTAACCCCTTTAAACCCTTTAAACCCTTTAAACCCTTTAAACCCTTTAAACCCTTTAAACCCTTTAAACCCTTTAAACCCTTTAAACCCTTTAAACCCTTTAAACCCTTTAAACCCTTTAAACCCTTTAAACCCTTTAAACCCTAAACCCGAATAAGGACAGAAGAGACTACCTGGGTATACCTCGCTCCTTGGGGGGGAGCTGTTGGCAACCCTGCAAGACCTGAGCCCAAGAGGCCCCAAAAGCCCGATGACTGGGGTTTAGGGTTTAGGGTTTAGGGTTTAGGGTTTAGGGTTTAGGGTTTAGGGTTACCCCTACAGAGCCTTCTTCCAGCACTCCATCGCCAAGGCGCTACGACGCTATGCAACAAGCGTGGCGGGCCTTGGAACCGCCGTCAGGCCTTCTCGGGAGGTTAGGGTTTAGGGTTCAGGGTTTAGGGTGTTAAGGATTTGGGGAGGGTTTGGATTTTTTTTTGAGATTAGGGTGAGGGGTTCTAGTTGTTTTTTTCTCACTTGAGGGGTGGTTAGTCTGTGGTTTTATTGAGTTTAAGGTTTGGGGGTTTTAGGGCCCTTTTTTTCAGTTCAGGGCTTAGGGGGGGCGGGTGTAGAGTGGAGGGTGTGGGGTTTAGGGTTTGGCTTTTCTGCCTATAGTTTTCTATGTATACATATATACATATATACATATATATACATATATATATATATATAAGTCGATCCCCCCAGAAGCGAGCACTGCCCCGACCTCAACCCCCAAAAGTACTAGAGCCACGCGAACAATCCAGAGAAGGATTCCCTCCAGGTATCATGGCAATCCCTACGCCTCCAACCTTCAGAAACCATTAGAAGACGAGTAGACCCATACGCAACACTCCCCATAGCGAAGCCCAGAAATAGCATCCAAGCCTAACCTCCCTGAGATACTGGGCCTGCTCTTCACAATTCGGCTCACAACAGCGGGAATGAGGTTCAGTGTTTGGGTTGCGGCATCACACGTGCGGTGATGTTTCCGCATGTTCATGGCAGCGCTGCGACTTCTGTGAAAGGTCACTTCCGGCCTTCATCTTCAACAGCCGCCCCAGTGGACCGTGTGTTGCTGCACTTCTGGAAAGCCGGCATGGCACTCACCATCTTCTCCTGGACACCCAGAAGGGAAGTTCAGCCTTTTCTACCAGTCTGCCCTGGAGTCTGGCACGTTCCCATGCTAGGTCAGTCACTCACATTGCGGCGGGCTCAGCGCGCCGCATGCTTCACCGGCAACTTGCATCAGTGGACTGGGAGATTCGCACGTCACTCCGGGCACTATCGATTGTCCAGCAACCAGTGCAGCAACAGCGTCGTGAGGAAAGGTGTCTGCCGTGGGCCCGTGAATGTGGGACCCGTTTTGGCGGTCTCGGCAAGCGGTTTTCATACATGTGCAGTGCCTTCTCTGACCTTGGAACCCTAGCAAAAGCCATCATTTTAGCTGTTTCTTAGGACTTCAAGTGCCCAAATAACAGAAAAAAAACCATTTCCAAGTGTTCCTGAGGTGCTGGCGGATGGTGGGGTGACGTGCTTCGGAGCGCTGGGGGGTGCGCAGTTCGATGTGCCAGCGAGCGTCGGGCCAGTCGTTGCGGTCTCGGCGGGCCGTTTCGCTACCTGTGTGGTGCAGCTTGGTGGCCACAGTGGTACCCTTTGTCCCCTTTTTTGGTTCAAGGTTCCCTTACAAAGTAACCAACCCCAAAAAGGGTGCCCTGATTATAATATTGTTGCTGGGCTACCAAGGCAGGTAGATGGTCAGCTCATCTGCTTTGGAGAGAACAACTGTGGGGAGTGCGACGTGCCAGCAGAGTTGGGGCCAGTTTTGGCCGTCTCGGCAGGCGGATTTCACATTTGCGCAGTGCGGGCAGACGATCAGCTTGTCTGTTTTGGAGACAACGGACATGGCCAGTGTGATGTGCCGGCAAATTTGAAACCAGGTGTTGCAGTTTCGGCGGGTGCCGCTCCCTGTGCAGCGCAGGCGGATGATCACAAAGATGGGCGTTGCAATGTTGTAGCAGGTTCGGGGCCAGTTGCAGTCTCAGCGGGTCCTTCTCATACTTGCGCGGTGCGGGCGGATGGTCGGCTGATCTGCTTCGGAGGCAACAGACATGGGCAGTGTGATGTGCCGGAAGAGTTGGGACCAGTTGTTGAAGTCGCAGTGGGCGATTCGCATACCTGTGCATTGCAGGCGGATGGTCGCCTGCTCTGCTTTGGAGGCAACAGACACGGACAGTGTGATGTGCCAGAAGAGTTGGGGCCATTTCTTGCAATCGCAGTAGGCGATTCTCATACCTGTGCAGTGCGGATGGATGGTCAGCTCATCTGCTTTGGAGACAACGGATTTGGGCAGTGCGACGTGCCAGCAGAATTGGGACCAGCTTTGGCCGTCTCAGCGGGCATGTATCATACCTGCGCAGTGCGGGCAGATGGCCAGCTCATCTGCTTTGGAGATAGCAGATTTGCGCAGTGCGATATGCCCGAGTGATTGCTGAAAAAACGCCACTGAGGGCATCCATGCATCAGACTGCTGTTCGCCGTTCGCCGTGCGCACGGCAGTATTCTTCGTAGCACTTCTGGCGCAGCTTAACCTCATCTCCTACATCGGTATCTGGGGATATACACGGGTTGTTTTTCCTTTTCATCGTCAAGCTTAGCCCCATTTCATGTTTGCAGTTTGTTTGTTGCTTCTTTGGCGCTAAACCCTTTCTTCCCAAGTGCCTCAACTCTCTTGCGTAACATCTCCTTCAACAATCGCATGTGGAACGGGACTTAGGCTTTGGGGTTTGGGGGTCCATCTTAGGGGCCATTGGACTTTGTAGAAGGTTTGAAAGTTGTGATGATTAATTCCCTACCAAGAACCAAAGGCCTTCAAAACTAAACCCTAAACCCTAAACCAATTCAGTCCTAAACCCCAAAGCCCTAAATGCAAACCCTAGCCCCGGGACGCCATTACATGCAGGCACACGTGCCAGCCCCTTGAACAGACCCTACCCCTAGCCTAAAACCCACGCCCTGAAGCCGTAAACCCTCGAAATCAACCCTAAACCCTAAACCCTAAACCCTAAACCCTAAAACCCTAAACCCTAAACCCTAAACCCCCTAAAACCTCCAAACCCTACTTGTTCCTGAAGTGCCCCCCCCAGAGCCCCTCGGAGACCTCGCTGAGTCGGGGCAGGCCGACGACTACAATCTGGCAGACAGATCGCATATAGGCTTGGAGTTGGCAGTGTTTAGGTGGGGGACGGGGGGGGGTTAGGGTTTAGGGTTTAGGGTTTAGGGTTTAGGGTTTAGGGTTTAGGGTTTCGGGTTTAGTACACAGCACTTCGGAAAGAATCCTGAACAAAACCCTCTAGAAACTCTAGAAAGGTAGGGTGCAGGGTTCCGGGTTTGGCGGCTCGCACAGCTTTCGACAACTTCAAATGTGAACAGAAGAGCACGGATAGCAGGATTCTGCTAGCTGTCTGGGGCTTAGGGTTTAGGGTTTAGGGTTTAGGGTTCAGGGTTCAGGGTTCAGGGTTCAGGGTTCAGGGTTTAGGGTTTAGGGTTTAGGGATGTTTAGGGTTTGGGGCTTAGGGTTTACGGTTCAGCGAGCCTGAGTCCCCAGGGATACAGTGGCACAGTCGTACGTTAGTTCTAAGAGGTGTTACATGGCTAAACCCTAAACCCTAAACCCTAAACCCTTGGCCCCTGAATTTGGTTCCTTAGCTTCCTTAAACAGGGTTGTGAAGTACGGCCCTTGGGGTTCTTTATGGGGGTTTAGGGTTTAGGGTTTAGGGGTTTAGGGGTTTACAAGGGGTACTTAACGGTTTCTCCATCAAGGGCAAACATTAAGCCCTAGATGTCCAGCTCTCACACGAAGATTGGTTGGGACTGCAAGGCTTGGGGCATACAAGTAGGACGCAGGGGTACCCAGACTCCAACCCCCTCCCCCCCCCGCTACCCCCACACCCCCACCCAGCCCAATGACCCAATGGCAATGAAGCGGCGTCAAAAGCGGCGTCAAAAAGCATGCTGGGACCACCCGTCGTACCCTTCTTTCCCCTTTGTTTAGGACTTCCAAGTTTTACTTCGCTTAACCCTGAAGAATCAGCCCTGCTACCTAAATCCCGGTCAATCTCGGACCCTTGATTTTTTATTTCGCATGCCACAAGACATGACATTTGTTGTCATAGTTCTCTAAATTCGGTTCCCGTTTTGGGGCCCCTCTATAGTACGGCGCCCTTAAAAAGGACGACCCCCCCCCCCCCCCCCCCCCTCAAAGGGACCCGACTTTAGAGAAGCCCCAAACCCTAAACCCCAAACACTAAACCCCAAACCCTAAATCCTAAGCCCGCGTTTGCAGGCACACTATGGCCACCTTGGCTTACTACAAAGAGGATGGCGGCAACCTCCTAGAGGCAGTGGTCATTGGCGTTTTGATTCGGTTCCGAGTTCACGGTCTAGGGCTTAGTGGGAGTTTAGTAGGGTTTAGGGTGCAGGATGCAGGGCTCCGGGTTTAGGGTTTAGGGTTTAGGGTTTAGGGTTTAGGGTTTAGGGTTTTAGAGTATTAGGGCTTAGTAGAGTTTAGGGTTTAGTGGGGTTTGAGGGTTTAGGATTCATTGTTGGGGGTTCAAGGGTTAGGGTTGGTGGCTTGCCTGCCCGTACTTGGGGGGGGGGGGGGGGCGAGGTATGGTTGGGCATTGGTTCCCTTTCTTGAACCTCTCAAAGAGTTACGGCTCGTGCCCTTTAAGGATGTGCCTGCAAGAGAATCCCTTAGTATGGCCCCTTGCATTCCCTTAGAGGATCTTGAAAAGGGCTTAGGTGTCCGAGCTCGAGTCCTATGAACCTCATAAAACAAGAAGAGTCTTCGGTTTCGGGACCCTTGGGGCTGAACCCTGCTTCGGTTTTTAGGGTTTAGGGTTTAGGGTTTAGGGTTTAGGGTTTAGCCTGCAACCCCCACGCCCTTTGTTAGACGCTTAAATCTTGTCCCCAAGGTTGTACCAAACCCTGAACCGCAAAACCCTCACACCCTAAAACCTCAAGCCCAAACCCTAAACCCTAAACCCTAAACCCTAAACCCCAAACCCTAAACCCTAAACCCTAAACCCTACCAAGCCCTAGACCCAAAGCCCATTCGAGTTGTCCCTGTGCGCACCCCAGGAGCGCAGCCTTTTTGCCATCCGCAACTACGAGAGGACGCTGCAGGCTCCGGCAGGTTGTACCCTAAACCCTAAACCCTAAACCCTAGACCCTAGACCCTAAACCCTAAACCCTAAACCCTAAACCGCGGAGTTTGGTTTTCTTTGCATGCTTTGCGGGCCAAGGTAATTCGTAAAACCTGACGCCCAAACCCTGTAGGTTCTCTTGTGCTGGGTCGCGTCGTTGGTGCACCAGGACTTTGCTACTGTTTTTCCCTAAACCCTAAACCCTAAACCCTAAACCCTAAACCCTAAACCCTAAACCCTAAACCCTAAACCCTAAACCCTAAACCCTAAACCCTAAACCCTAAACCCTAAACCCTAAACCCTAAACCCTAAACCCTAAACCCTAACCCTAAACCCTAAACCCTAAACCCTAAACCCTAAACCCTAAACCCTAAACCCTAAACCCTAAACCCTAAACCCTAAACCCTAAACCCTAAACCCTAAACCCTAAACCCTAAACCCTAAACCCTAAACCCTAAACCCTTGCGCTCGAACCCCAGGTAGGCCTGCATGTCGATTTGCCTTGTCCCTGCGGCGTCTTCCGGTTGGTAGTCCCCCCACAGAGTGGACCGTTAGTGTGCCCCCATGTACAGCGTTTTGACCCAAAATCCTAGCACTCAAGCCCCAAGCCCTAAACCCTAAACCCTAAACCCTTTAAACCCCAACCCCTAAACTCCACAAGCTTTTTCCCTTCCGAGCGAAGCCTCCTTCTACAAGACACGTTAGCTTGTACTTACTGAGGGATACAAGGAGGGACCCCTAGAAACCCTAAACCCTAAACCTTACTTCTCCAACAGCTGAACTTTAAACTTTTTGGGTTCCCTTTTTTAGTAGGAATAATAAAGTTTAACCTTTTTTTCCCCTTGGTTATTGGAGAAGTAAGAAACCCTAAACCCTAAACCCTAAACCCTAAACCCTATATAACCCCTCTATATAGCTTGTATAGTCCCACCTAAGTAGCCCCTACATGAAACCCCAAGGGGGTTTAGGGATACAAGGAGGGACCCCTAGAAGGGACCCTTCCTTAGTTGTTTTTATCCCCCTATATGTAACCCCTCTATATACCTTATACAGTCCCACCTAAGTCGCCCCTACATGTAACCCCAAAATGGTTTAGGGTTTAGGGCATATGATTGCAGGAATATTCCTTAGTCAAGGGGTCTTGGAGTCTCTGGGGTAAGGGCCTCCTTTAAACCTAGTTGAACCAACCAGGGCTTTTTTCTTCTAGGCTACTGGAAGCACCAGGAGATTAGTTAGGCTACGCTATTGCTGATGCCGGAATTTCCACAAGCCCTTCGTGCTGCTTGCTTGCCCACAACCCTAAAGCCTGAAAGCCTGAACCCTACGTCGGGCCAGCCAGAACCCCAGCAACCCGGCCTAACTAAAGAGCGACAGAGTGCGAGAGAGAGAGAGAGGGAGCGAGCGGAAAAAACAAAATGAGAGAGCGAGAGAGAGAGAGAGACAAAAAACATTAAGCCTTCTGAGAAGAAGAAGAAGAAGAAGAAAAAAAAAGCAAGAAGCATTGAAAACATTTTGCTGCGCAGAATGACTGTCAGCGCAGTTAGCCGGTGGGCATTTGCTTTTGCCAGACTCGCGCTTGTCAGATCTTCCAAAATCCATTGGTTAAGCCTACCTCATAATATTGATCCTTAGTATAAATTAGGGTATATTCCCCACTTAAGAGGTTTTGGGAGATCTGGCCTGCTACTGCCAGTAAAGTACGCAACAGGAAGAGGGTGTGAAGGCCCTACAAACTTCAAACCCTAAACCCTAAACCTTTAACCCTTAACCCTTAAACCTGAGCCCTTAACCCTTATCCCTTAGACCCTAAACCCTAAACCCCAAACCCTAAACCCTAAACCCTAAACCCTAAACCCTAAACCCTAAACCCTAAACCCTAAACCCTAAACCCTAAACCCTAAACCCTAAACCCTAACCCGAAACCCCCAACTCAAACCCTAAGCACCAGACCCTAAACCCCAACCCTGAACCCTTAAACCCAAACCCCAAACAAGCTCCTAAACCCCAAACCATATTAAACCCCTTTAGGCCTAAACGCCAAACCCCTCGAACCCCCAAACCCCTGATTTACCCCCGTAATCCCCCACACCCCAAGTTCAACCTCGCTTACTAAACCCTAAACCCTAAACCCTAAATTAGGAGCCTCCGGCTCAGGCCGCCGACCCAAGAGGCCCGAAACCTCTCAACCCTCAAAGCCGGAAATGGTTGTTACCCTAAAGCCTAAACGCTAAACTCTACACCTAAACCAGGGTTCGGGGGTTGGAGGACGTGTTGTGGGAATGGGGGGGTAGAGGCTTCGAACTGTGGAGTTGGCGTAAGGTTGCAACATAGGCAACCCCCTGTGCTGAACCGCTTCTTTCTGGTCTGTTTACGTCGTGCGGGTGGCGCGGTCCTCCACCGACCCACTCGTACCCCGCGTTTTAAGGTTTTTGGGGGTGTAAAGAGCAAGCCCCAAACCTTGAGGTGGGGCGTGGGGGGGGGGTGGGGGGGGAGGTGGGGGCGCAAGCGAGCATCATGGGCATCAGCGCGCTGTGGCTTTCCAACCCAAGCAGGGACGGGGAGCATCATGAGCATCATTGGGGCAGGGCCTCTCCAGCAGAGATGAGGCCTTTCCAGCATCATGGGCATCAGTGGGCGTGACCTTTCCGGCACAGGGGGAGCTTTCCGGTGCGGGCGGTTTGGGGGGGGGGGGTGGGGTGGGAGGGGGAGTTCCCTCCCCCAAAACCATCCAACACGCCGCCAGGGTCGGCGGACCCTAAACCCTAAACCCTAAACCCTAAACCCTAAACCCTAAACCCTAAACCCTAAACCCTCAGCAACCCTAAAAGACCCTTTCAAAAGCAGGCGACTGCGGAGTGGCAGTTCTTCTGCGGCAACGCGATCGTGGGCATCCAAGAGGCGGGTTTAGGGTTTAGGGTTTAGGGTTTAGGGTTTAGGGTTTAGGGTTTAGGGTTTAGGGTTTAGGGTTCAGGGTTGAGGGTTGAGGGTTGAGGGTTTAGGGTTTGGGGTTTGGGGTTTGGGGTTTAGGGTTTAGGGTTTGGGGTTTGGGGTTTAGGGCTTAGGGTTCAGGGTTTAGTGTTTAGGGTTTCCGGATCTTCAGCTTGGCATTGCTGGAACACCTAAGGACCCTTATCTGTGACCTTGGATAGTAAACCAAGCTATTCAGAGCAACACTACTCGAACTTGCCCCGCTTGGTCTTCGGGAATTGCTACCTGGTTCCGGCCCACTTGTCCCGCCTATTCCACTTGGTAGCGGCAGAACCCTTGTCCCTAAACTGTAACCCCTAAACCCTAAACCCTAAGCCGTGGAATAGCTTCGTTTGGCCCACTAGCCCCACTTGCCCAATCCCTCCGTGGCAAGTCCCCGTGGCAAGTTCAGTGCGAGGGCCCCTCCTCAATCAGCCATAAAAGACCTTAAACCCTAAACTTCCCTAAACCCTTCTAAACGGATGTTTAGGTTTCATTGTTTAACGGCTTCTGTTTCGTGTTTTTTGGGTTGTGCTTGGGGGGGGGGGGGGGGGGACTTGAAGCGTTTTAGGCCCCCCGGGCCTGGGTTCAGTTCAGGGTTACCTGCAGCCTAAGTCTTGAGAATTCGAGGTGTTTTGGGGGATGCATGTTTATAACCCTAAACCCGAAACTTCTAAACCCTCAACCCTCAACCCTAAACCCTAAACCCTACTCCAGTCCGCAAGGCAACAGCAGCACCCGGCAACGCGACCAACCAGACCGTAACGGAAGCGGCAAGCACGCCGGGACAGCAGATCAGCGCCTGACCCAGGATGAGCTTTCTCCTGTGCCTAGGGTTCAGGGTTTAGGGTTTAGCCTCCCTAAGCCCCTCAGCCCCTTCGTTTAGGGTTAAGCCCGAATTCAACCCCAAATCTGCTGAAGGTATTTTCCTACCCGCATCCCACCCCCCACCCATCCCACCCCGCTATGTTCCCATTCCGGAACCCCCGACGCATGTCTTCCGTTCCACCCCCCGCCCGCCCCCATCCTCTCCAATTTAACCCCCCCCCCCCTCTTTCCACCACTATCCCTCCCTTCTCCACTTCAAGCCGTCCCTATCTTGCGCACGAATGCCCCTCCATTTAAACCCTTAGGTCCCCTCTCAAACCCCCAAACCCCCAAACTCCTGAAGCCGAAGCGAATGAGAGACCCGAGGCTGCGCGCCCGGCGAGTCGCTGGTGAATTACATTTGGCCACCCGACTGGTTGCAGATGTTTTGGAGTACTATACTTTAATACTTGCTTTTGGTTCTGGGTTCCTATCATAGCTAGGGTCTTAGGGTTTAGGGTTTAGGGTTTAGGGTTTAGGGTTTAGGGTTTAGGGTTCTTTTTCCAGGGTCTGCTCCCAAGTGAGGGTTGCAGATGTTTGGGTTTTTGTTTCTGGATTCAGGGTTCAGAGCTTAGGGCTCAAGGTGCAGGGTTGGTTTAGGGTTTAGGGTTTAGGGTTTAGGGTTTAGGGTTTAGGGTTTAGGGTTAGGGTTTAGGGTTTAGGGTTTAGGGTTTAGGGTTAGGATTCGGCTAGGCCAGTAGGAGAAGGCTTACGTGCGCCCCCAATATCAGGTTTCAGGGTCAAGGGTCTGCACCCTAAACCCTGGACCCTAAACATGACTTTGACGGGGTTGTCGTGGAGATTGGAACCCTAAGCCCTAAGCCCCTACACCCTCAATTTCCCTAAGCCCTAAACCCTAAACCGCAGGCCCAGCTATGACAGCCCAAGTGGCATCTCGGTGGGCCAGCTCCTTAGAGTTTGCAGTTGGCACAACTTGCCTCGGGGGGGGGGGGGGGGTAGGGTTAATAGGGTTCAGGGCGGTTTTGGGATGTCTTAGGGGTTTAGGGTTGAGGTGTTTAGGGGTTTAGGGTTTTTTTGGCGGGCGGTGGAGGTGGGGGGTAGGGGGGGGGGCTTTTGGAGCTTCATGCAGTGCATTGAGGTATGTTGTGGTCAGCAGCCTGTGCGGATGTGAGGTTTACGAAGGTGTTCAAGGCCGCTCCCTAAACCCTAAACCCTGAACCCTAAACCCTAAACTGTCATGCCTCCGGGGCTCCCATTTTAGTGTTTCGGGTTTAGGGTTTTGGGCGCCTATCCCTCCAGAGAATTCAGGGTTTAGGGTTCAGGGTGTAGGGTTTGGCGTTTAGGGTTTTTTCACGTTCGAGCTTATTTCAGCCCCGGAGCAAATCCTGAACCCCTAAAGCCTTGAATCCTAACACCTCTATGCCTCTAACCCCGAAACCCTAGTTAGACCCTAATCCCTAAACCCCGAATCCTAACCCCTAAACCCGAAACCCGAAACCCCAACCCTAAAACCCTAAAACCCTAAAACCCTAAAACCCTAAAACCCTAAAACCCTAAAACCCTAAAACCCTAAAACCCTAAAACCCTAAAACCCTAAAAACCTAAAACCCTAAAACCCTAAAACCCTAAAACCCTAAAACCCTAAAACCCTAAAACCCTAAAACCCTAAAACCCTAAAACCCTAAAACCCTAAAACCCTAAAACCCTAAAACCCTAAACCCTAAACCCTAAACCCTCTAACTCGCAGGCCCCGGAGAGACTCAGCAGCTGCTCATGGACGGTACTGGATCCCGGTTCTTCCCTGTGGAGGCCGGCTTAGAGTTTAGGGTTTAGGGTTTAGGGTTACGGGTTTAGGGTTTAGGGTTACGGGGTTTAGGGGTTTAGGGGTGTAGGGGTTTAGGGGTTCAGGGTTTAGGGGTCTAGGGGTTTAGGGGTTCAGGGGGGGGGGGGGGGTACCAGGGCTAGGGGTTCATGCCCTAAACCCTAAACCCTAAACCCTAAACCCTAAACCCTAAACCCTAAACCCTAAACCAGGGGGCTCATGGCTTAACCCCTAGGAACTTCTGCCGCGTCCTGAGCTTGGTATGCCTCTGGTGGCTCACATGTTCCCCCATTGCACTAGCAGTCCTTCATAGGGATTATTGTCATTATAGTACCCCGATGATAATCGCCATTAAGGACGGGTTAGTGCAAGGGAGGACGTTCCAAGTTTTAAGGTTTCAGGGTTTCAGAGGTTTACGGTTTTAGGCGGGCCAACGTAAAGAGCAACACACATATTATCTTCTACGGATTGCGAACTATCTGAGTAGAACTTGTAATCGGTCCAATAGAAGTCATCTCCGAACGTTGTATGATGAACGCTGCAAAAATCATGTATTTAAAGCCATCATGTCTTTCTCATGTTTGCTCATTTCAGACATTTGTTTGAAACACAAGCAAGTTCCTTTCGTTCATGAACAAGAACAAGGGTGTTTTCAGTCAAATAAGTTGCAAATTTGGGTGAATCTGCACATTTATAATCGATATGTGTTGTTGCTGTATTTTCAATTAGTGAACCAGGGTGAAATTGAAAGTCTTTGGTGTGATTTGTGGCTTTGGTCCTGATAGTACCTCCAAAAATAGGCATCATTCAATCTAAACAGATTTCCTTAGCCAGTGCAAACTCAACCGAATGCATTGTTTATTTCACAGACGTGCTTTCGATGCATATTTGATTGCGTACCCATATGCAAAAATGCCGAAAGACACGCTTGTTTTGTGTTTTCCAAGTTACCTGAACAATGTTGTTGAGTATGGACTGTCATGGGAAAAAAGAAAGCGGATTTGATCAATGAAATATAGCGGTGTATGCTCACCCTTATACTAGCAGTCCTAAATAGGGATTTTAGTACCCCCCCCCCCCCCTACTATAATCATAGGGTACTATAATCCCTATTAACGACAGCTAGTACAAGGGGGAACATCCCAAGATCGAACGGTGTACAATGGCTATGGTTTCCCAACGCAGCCCATAAAACCCAGCCATCGATTCCATATCAAGGGACTAAAGGAGGGGCCCTTATAAGGGACCTTAGGGGTTTTCGGGGGCTACTTAAGTCTCTAGGGACTACATAAGGCATATACCGGGGTTATGTAGGGGAATAAGATCAAGGGTCCCTTCTAGGGGTCCCTCTTATCTCGTCCATCCCATATGGCATTCCCACTAATCCCATCTCCATAAGGATATCGATGCCAAAATCAGTGGTGAACTGAAATGGATCATGATTGAGTAAGTTCATTGCATGAAAAATTGCCAAGATCTTTGTGCGAATGCCTTTCGTTTGCATTGCCGGGTTCTGCCCGGACCCCAAGCCCCATTCCTTTAAGCCTATCCACAACCACACCCCGGAAAACGGGGGATACCGCGGGGGGGGTTTAGGGTTTAGGGTTTAGGGTTTAGGGTTTAGGTCCCCCGTCGGAGCGCAACCATACACACCGAGAGCAGGCTGTCGTGTCTGCGCTGCGTGACGGCACCGACAGGCTGCCCCAGACAATGAACCGGCTTGGTCCCCAGGGGTGGCTAAACCCTAAACCCTAAACCCTAAACCCTAAGCCCTAAACCCTAAACCCTAAACCCAGGGGTGGGTCTAGGGTTTTGGGCCTAGGGTTTCGGGTTTAGGTTGGCATGTTCCCCCTTATGCTCAAGCATGCCTTAATAGGGATGCTATTACGCCTTTACTCTAATCCCTATGAAGGCCTGATAGTATAATGGGGGAGCAATGGAGAAACCCAAGGTTTAGGACTTAAGGTTGAGGGCCTAGGTAGGTCTGGAGCGCTCTCGAAGTCACTCGTTTGGGGTTCAGGGTTCAGGGTTTGGGGTTTAGGGTTTGGGGTGTAGGGTTTAGGGTTTAGGGTTTAGGGTTTGGGCTTGTTGAGCTCAGGGCTCAGCAGCTTCAGCTATGGGGTTGGCGAGGGCTTGGTGAAGGGCGCCCAGGACGTGATTTCTTGGGTGGACAGCCTGCGGGATTCTAACCCTAAACCCTAAACCCTATAAACCCTAAACCCTAAATCCTAAACCCTAACCCTAAACCTAAACCCTAAACCCTAATCCATAAACCCTAAACTAACCCTCTGTAGGGGAATCTGGGGGTCCTTTGGGGGGATTCCCCGGGCCTGGAAGACTCGGGCGAGTAATGTAGGGGCCAGAATACATACTAGTAGTTTTCACTTTCACTTCTGGTCCCTTCTTAAATATACTAGGTTTAGGGTTTAGGGTTTAGGGTTTAGGGTTTAGGGTTTAGGGTTTAGGGTTTAGGGTTTAGGGTTAACCCCCCGAAACCCCGTTCTAAGCATTAAGGCCCCGATATAGGGGGGGGGGGGGATCTGGGGTTTTAGGCTTTCCGGGCTTTCTAAAGTAGGTTTTTTTTCGGACATGGTTTCAGGGTTGAAGGTGGGGAGTGCTTTGGCTGACCCTAAACCCTAAACCCTAAACCCTAAACCCTAAACCCTAAACCACTGGACTCCGAGGCTCGCGCGGCTTTTCCCGAAGGAGCCTTGCTTGTCTGTGGCATTCTGGGTTTAGGGTTTAGGGCATAGGGTTTAGGGGTTCTAGGGTTTGGGCTTAACAGGGTCCTGATTCCCTTTTTTTCTGGGGGGGGGGGGGGGGGGGGATGGTAGGGTTTAGTGTTTAGGATGTAGGGTTTAGGGTTTAGAGTTTAGGGTTTAGGCTTACATGTTTTGGGTCCTGATGTTTTTTGGGGAGTGGGCATGAGTGGGGGTTTAGGTTCCCGTCTTCTGCCAAGTAGAACCTTGAGGAGTCAAAAAACACAGCAGAGTCTACAACCCTATAAGCCTCCCTTTCTTGAGAGGAGCCCCTAAACCCTAAACCCTAAATACCCTAAACCCCAACCCTAAACCCTAAACCCTAAACCCTACACCCTTGGGAACTTCAGTCGTGGCCAGCCAGAGGATTTCGTGGCCCCGGAAGGTGGGGAGCGTCCCCACACGGACACGCTGAGGCGCATGGGTAGGGTAGCGGGGTCGGGGTTTAGGGATTAGGGTTTAGGGTTTAGGGTTTAGGGTTTAGGGGTTAGGGGTTAGGGGTTAGGGGTTAGGGGTTAGGGGTTAGGGTTTAGGGTTTAGGGTTTAGGGTTTAGGGTTTAGGGTTTAGGGTTTAGGGTTTAGGGTTTAGTGTTTAGTGTTTAGTGTTTAGGGTTTAGGGTTTAGGGTTTAGGGTTTAGGGTTTAGGGTTTAGGGTTTAGGGTTTAGGGTTTAGGGTTTAGGGTTTAGGGTTTAGGGTTTAGGGTTTAGGGTTTAGGGTTTAGGGCTAGGGTCTAGGGCTAAGGGCTTTTGTAGGGGTTTAGGGCTTATGGTTTCAGGGGTTTAGGGCAGCGAGGTTTAGGTGTTTTGGGGTTGAGTCTCTTGGGTGCACGGCAGGGGTTTTTCGGGTCTGACGTCGAGCCTTTAGGGTTTTGGGCTATATATCAAGGGATTCAGACTCGTACCCTTAAGGTTGTACCCCTAAAGGTTCCCCCTGATATACTCCTAACCTTAAGGATCCTCAAAAAGGGGCCCCAAAACCCAAGGGTACAACCTTAAGGGTCCGTGGTAGCACCCCTGGAATATAAGGATTCAGAGGAGTAGGTTTTCAGGGCTTAGACGTTTAGGGTTTTAGTGAAAGGCGGCAGCCTCTTTGCAAACTGTGCCCCACTGTCAATCAGGCGAAGTTCTAAGGTGACTCACGTGTAGGGTTCAGGGTTTATTGGGTTTAGGGTAGGGTTTCCCTAAAACCTGAACCCTGAGCCCTTGAAGTATGTGGGCTCGAGCCGGGGGGTTTAAATCCTAGACCCTGAACCCCTGATTGCCCTAAACCCTACTCAAGGTTCAGGATTCAGGGTTTAGGGTTTGGGGTTCAGGGTTTAGGGTTTAGGGTTTAGGGTTTAGGGTTTAGGGTTTAGGGTGTTGTAAACAAGGGTCCCTGGCGGAGTGCTGTTTACAGGGATGGCTTCCTCGTTTGAGGAGAACAAGGCACCCCCAAGTCCTGCAAGCCCCGCCGCCCTCAGCTCAAAATGGGTGGTTGTCAAAATTATGGTCCCTTTTTGGATCCCTATTGTAATACGGCACCTAATATTTAGGGTACCCCAAAAAGGGATCAAAATTTTTTAACAACCACCCAAATGTGCTTAAAACCTTAAACCTACGTCCGACCGGCCCTAGGTCCTCAATCCAACTCTCAGCTCCCTAAACTCGCAACTGCCTGCATCCTAACCTCCCTCTGCACCTCATTTTCCCCCTAAACCCCAAACCCCAAACCCCAAACCCCAAACCCTAAACCCTAAACCCTAAACCCTAAACCCTAAACCCTAAACCCTAAACCCTAAACCCTAAACCCTAAACCCTAAACCCTACTTGAAATCAGTCCAGGTCCTTCTTCCTCTTCAGCCAGGCCTACGGTGCGCAAGCCCAGCTCTCTATTTGGGTTTCGGGGGGTGTCAGGGTTTCGGGCTTAGGGTTTAGGGCGCCGAAGGTTTTAGGGCTGCGAACTTTGGGGTGAAGTTGGAATATTCCCGCTTATACTAACAGTCCTTTATATAGGCATTAGTACCCCCCCCCACCCCCCTCCCTTTTTACAGTCCCTATGAAGGCCTTTTAGTATAAGGGGGAACATCCCAAGAGCGAAGGGTTTAGGGTTTAGGGTTTAGGGTTTAGGGTTTAGGGTTTAGGGTTTAGGGTTTAGGGTTTAGGGTTTAGGGTTTAGGGTTTAGGGTTTAGGGTTTAGGGTTTGGAGCTTCCGGTGTTCAAGGGATCTCGTACCCCTCACGTTGTAGCCCTAAGATGTTCCCCTTTTTTAAATACTCCTAATATGATGCGTACATTCCTTTAGGGATCCCCTTAAGGGCTTAACCTCTAGAGGTGTGTCACTCAGTTTAGCTTTTGGGTGCAGGACAGGGTGGAGTTGAATGTTTCGAGTCCCAGGTCTACCCTCACCCAGACCCCCTGCGGAGGATCCCAAAAGTAGATCCTTTTGAGGGCTCCTAATCGTAGTATAGGGTACCATGCAGCCTAAGCCCTAACCCTAAACCCCTAAGCCCCTAAGCCCCTAAGCCCTAAACCCTAAACCCTAAACCCTAAACCCTAAACCCTAAACCCTAAACCCTAAACCCTAAACCCTAAACCCTAAACCCTAAACCCTAAACCCTAAACCCTAAATCCCAACCCCCAAGTCGGACCTTCGGATTGTTTGTATAGGCAAGGGCAGAAACCCCTATGATTCTCGACGCCCCTTGTCCCAGGGTTGCGGGTTTAGGGTTTAGGGTTTAGGGTTTAGGGTTTAGGGTTTAGGGTTTAGGGTTTAGGGTTTTAGAGTGTTTGCACGGCCTTAAGGTCCTGATGGATACTACGACTCGTCTTCTGCCTGGGCCTTGCACTCCCAAAGCCCCTGAATCCACCTTTTTTCATCCTAGGTTACTGGGCAACCTAGAAAGGGGTCCAACGACGAGTTCAATCCCCACACCTCCAATCAAGGCATTGCGATTCCTCCGTTTAGGTAGGGGTTTAGGGTCTAGCGTTTGCTGGCTCAATCTGGAAACTCATCTTGCATCTTTTTGAATACTTAAACCCCATAAGGAACACAAATGATCATGTTTAAACAGTAACCCCCCCCCCCCCCCAACAATGGCGCAATTCACTCATCCTGTCTCGCACCCACTGCATTGGAGCCCCTGCATGTCATCAGCACACAAGAGCATCTTAGAGCTAGCCCAAAACCCAATAAGCCCAATGAATTCAAAACCCTAGCCCCCCCTTAGCTGTCGAGGCAGGATGCAGACCCCGAACCAAAAAGTGGCAGTTCGGCAGGGATGCTTGAACCTGCAGCCACCTTGTGACATTGTGCGGAAGCAGCATCTAAGCCTTAAACAGGCACCCAACGCCCCCCCCCCCCCCCCCCCCAGTCACGTAACACTTAACCCGCCATAGAAGCCTTGGTAAGGCCCTTCTGTGCAACACAGGCCGGCCGTGATTTGCCGAAGCCCTAGCCCTATAGCCTAAAGCTGCAATCCCCAAAATATATTCCCCCCCCCCCCCCCCCCGGTGGCACCTCTTAAGCCCCCCACCCCCCAAATCTCGTAAAATATGAAACGCTCCATAACCCTAAACATGAGATCTGAACCCAACAACCAACCCTACTAATCGCCGCCCGAATCTCGAATGCCAAAACCAGCATCTCAGCCCTTAAAGAACCTGCGAAGCCCCATTTAACCCAAACACCCTCAACAAAAAGAGCACGAAGCCATACGACGACCCAGAACCCAAAGCACCCTCAAGAAAGACACCCAAATCCGTAAACGTACAGCTAAACCCTAAATACCTTAGCTTACGCCCGGCACAAGACCCACACACCTCAAACGAAAGCTTAACCCGGCCCTAAACCCCCGAAGGCCCCAGTAAAAGTCTCTTGAAAAAGGACACAACCCCAACTAGGACCCGTACAAAAAAGAGAACTGCGCCCCCAAACCCTACAACCCAAACCCTGGAAAAGAACCCAAACTTTCAAAGCCCCCCCCCCCCAACCCCCCTAAACCCTCAAACAGAAATCCTAAACCCTAAACCCTAAACCCTAAACCCTAAACCCCAATTAGACCCTTAATATGCCAAAGCCCTAGAGCCGAAGCTGAAGGCCGCGGGCGTGGATCGGCAGCGATTCCATGGTGGGGACCGCTCTTACGGGTGGCCGGTAGGGTTTAGGGTTTTAGGGTTTAGGGTTTAGGGTTTAGGGTTTAGGGTTTAGGGTTTAGGGTTTAGGGTTTAGGGTTTAGGGTTTAGGGTTTAGGGTTAGGGGTTGATAGGTTTAGGGTTTTGGGGGTTAGGGTTCAAGGTTTAGGGCTTGGGGTTGAAGATTTAGTTTGGCAGAAAACCACAGGGGAGGGCCAGCTAGCCGATGCTGAGACCAAGGAACATCGAGCAGAGGGCACAAGTGGTGCTAACCCTAAACCCTAAACCCCAAACCCTAAACCCTAAACCCTAAACCCCAAACCCTAAACCCTAAACCCTAAACCAGGAGGACGTGCGCTGCTTCTCCCCCAAGCCCTCCTGAAACTGCCCGAAATACATCGAAATGCCTCCCTCTAAGGACGCTGTGGCAAACGTTCGGGACCTGAATTCTGGAATGCTGAGTGTAGAGTGTAGAGCTTAGGGGTGACTCAGTTTGGGTTGCGAGAGGTTTAGGGTTTAGGGTTTAGGGCTTAGGGTTTAGGGTTTAAGGTTTAGGGGGACGCCTGTGCAACTTACGGGACGTGGGACATAGCTCTTTCGTGCTCGCAGGACCTGCACAATCTCCTGAGGCGCCAGGATACGGTTCTGCAGGACGTCGAAGTTCGCAGTTTGGGGTTTAGGGTTTGCGGTTCTATGTTGCCCAGTAGTGTAGTAGTGCCTTGGGGTGGCGTGGATCCTTTGTGCACTTCAGTAGCCTTGAAACGTATTTCCCGCACGGGGCTGTAGGGCTTTGGGGTTAGGTGGCGTAGGGGTTTGGGTTGAAGGTGTAAAGTTTACGGTTTTAGAGAAGGACATACATTCAGGAAGCCGGAGCTGCTTTATGGCTTGGTAGCCCAGTGGTACCCTTCACTTTTTTTGTTGTGGGTTCCCTTATAAAATAAGGAGCCCAAAAAAGGGTGCCCTTATTGTAATATGGTTACTGGGCTACGAAGATGGTGTTGTGTAGTTTCCAGTCCACTAAGGGGGGATAGTATAGAGGAGGGTAGCCCTAAACCCTAAACCCTGAACCGAAACCTGAACCCTGAACCCGGAACGTACTCGGTGCCTGTCGGCACTGACCCTTTATCGGCATCTGACTCCGGCCAGAACGGCCTTGCTCATAGCCTGAGCCTGAGCCCCTGGACCCCAACTTAAAGTCCAAGCACCCCAAGAGCCCTAGACCCTCAACCCTAAACCCTAAACTCTAAACCCTAAACCCTAAACCCTAAACCCTAAACCCTGGGTGCTTACTTGGGCCTAGGCCATAAACCCACCTTCTGAGCTGAGTGCTTACATGCCGCCCTAGGAGGTTCTGAGGCCACCTAGAAACTCAAGGGAGGGCTGTTCTAAATCAGGGTTTAGGGTTTAGGGTTTAGGGTTTAGGGTTTAGGGTTTAGGGTTTAGGGTTGTTTTGCTGTGGGTGGGGGGGAGGTCCTTTATGTAAGGAGTCCGAGAATATGGTCGGCAGCACTTGTCCATAAGGGAAAAATAGGGGTCGCAATAATTGCGAATAGCATTCAGCCTATGATCCCTTCTGTATATTTGTACTATAATTGCCCCCCCCCAAAAAAAAAAAAAAACTAATTATTCCAGTTGTTTTGGCCCCTATAACCCTAAACCCTAAACCCTTTTCTAATTATCCCTAATTATTCCAATCCCTAAACCCTGAACCCTAGACCCTTTTCTAATTATTAAGGCCCCTATATTGAGCAACCTAATCGCCTCTTGGTTGGCCCCTTGGGATGTCTCGGATACCCATCTTTACACCCAGCCGAGTATTTACCACGTAGGGTTTTGGGCTTAGGGCTTAGGGTTTAGGGTTTAGGGTTTAGGGTTGATAGGTTTTGGGTTTTGGGGTTTAGGGTTCAGGGCGGGTTTAGGGTTTAGGGTTTGGGGCTTAGGTCGCGTTCGGGGGCGAGCACCTGCTTTCTGTCAAGCTGAGGCCCAAATCTCAGAACCTAAAGTTTTCAACCCCACACTAACAGGTCCTAAACCCTGAACCGGAAACTATGTTGTAAGGGTTTCGGGCTTCGGGGCCCTTTAAACCCGAAACCCTAGAACCCCAAACCCTAAACCCCAAACCCTAAACCCTAAACCCTAAACCTTAAACCCTGGCACCTAAACCCTAAACCCTAAACCCTAAACCCTAAACCTCAACCCTATAGGCAGATAGACACTCAGCCCCACGACTGCAAGGAGTCTGGCATCCGTGTGTTCTACAGTTCCGGGCTGCTCGCGCTGTCCTCAGCTCGCGTTCTGGGTTTAGGGTTTAGGGCTTAGGGCTTAGGCCTTTAGGGTTTAGGGTTTAGGGTTTAGGGTTTAGGGTTTAGGGTTGATTTCGAGGGTTAGGGGTTCTGGGGCGAGAGCGCTAAGGTTCCTAGCACTTCTGTGGTTTGGGAACTTGAGGTTGGGGTTTTTGGGCTTCAGGGAAGGCTCTCGGAACCTGTTTCGAGGGGTGTTTAGGGTTTAGGGTTTAGGAAGTTTAGGGTTTAGGGTTTAGGGTTTAGGTTTTTTGCTCTCAGATCCGGATGTCAGACTGCCAGCCAGGGGCTGAGGACAAGAATGGGTGCCGGTTTTTTGGATTGAGCGGGTTAGGGTTTTTGGGCTTTGGGCTTTAGGTTATAGGGTTCTTACTGGAGGGGGGTTCATGGGGTTAGGGTTTAGGGTTTAGGGTTTAGGGCTTAGGGTTTAGGGTTTAGGGTTTAGGGTACCGGGGGAAGCTCAGGAAGCCTTAGGGAATAGTGGGGAGTGTGAGGGAACCTTGGGTTACATAACCCTAAACCCTCCTAAACCCTAAACCCTAAACCCTGAACCCTAAACCCTCCTAAACCCTAAACCCTAAACCCTACACCCTACAGCCTACACCCTACACCCTACACCCTACACCCTACACCCTACACCCTACACCCCAATCCGAACCCTATAATATGCGAATGAGTCAGGCCCAAATGTTTTCGAGGCATGCCTAGGACTTCAAGCCTAAACCCTGAACGTTCACTACTATTGGCCTTAAGAACCCCAGCAGAATAACAAAACCATTAGAGTCCCTCTATTACCCCTAGTAAGGAAGAACATTACTTGGATTTTTTCCGGGGTTCTCAAGCAGTTAGTAGTTCACCCTAAACCCTAAACCCTAAACCCTAAACCCTAAACCCTAAACCCTAAACCCTAAACCCGTTCATGGTTAGGAAAAGTCCGACAGGATGAGGCCGACATTTTCAGCGCGCTCTTCGCAGATGTGATGCTGTCGGTTGGAGGCCTCACAGGGAAGATCGTCCCCAGAGCCGTGCAAACCTGTTTAGGGTTTAGGGTTTAGGGTTTAGGGTTTAGGGTTTAGGGTGTTAAAGCTCTTAAAGCCCTTAACCGCCTACAGCCTAACCCCGATTTTAGAGGGTTTCTAGAGGGCTTGAGAGGGCCTTACAGGGATGGAGAGGGTTTGCAGGGCCCTACACCCTAAACCCTAAACCCTAAACCCTAAACCCTAAACCCTAAACCCTAAACCCTAAACCCTAAACCCTAAACCCTAAACCCTAAACCCTAAACCCTAAACCCTAAACCCTAAACCCTAAACCCTAAACCCTAAACCCTAAACCCTAAACCCTAAACCCTAAACCCTAAACCCTAAACCCTAAACCCAAACCCTAAACCTTGTGAAGGGCTAGGTTTCCATACCGGCACCAGACAGCAAGAATGGGCCCTGCCTTCCTTCCTGCTGGTCGGTTACTTGGGATCCCGGGATCCGAAGTTTTGGGCTGAGGGGTTTCGGTTTCAGGGTTTAGGGTTTGGGGTTTAGGGTTTAGGGTTTGGGGGTTTAGGGTTTAGGGTTTAGGGTTTGGGGTTTGGGGTTTAGGGTTTAGGGTTTAGGGTTGGGGCATCCCGTGACTTCAGAGACCTTATACCCGACTAAGCCCTGAAACCCTAAACCGCAAACCCTCAAGCCCCAATCTCCAAACACGCAACCTCAGCTCGGGAACCCACACCCGTCCGAAGCTCAAACCCCGAAGCTCTAAACCCCTTGGGGTGTAGGGTTGAGGGTGCAGGACTTAGGGCTAATTAGGGCTCAGGCAAGCTTGAGGGTTTAGGGTTTAGGGTTTAGGGTTTAGGGTTTAGGGTTGAGGGTTTAGGGTTTAGGGTTTAGGGTTTTGGGAACCTACTTTCTTAGTCAACAAGTGAACTTCCCCAGCCTCTCCCGAGAGGTTTGGCCCTGGTGTTCTTGATGATCTGCCTCCACACGCAGAGCTTGCTGTCGGGCCCCCTTGTACGACCCAGGGTAGGCTCTTGTTCCGTTTTTTTTGGGGGATCCTTTTCAGACCGGAAGGGGTACCCTTTTTCATTCCTATACGTAGGTTACTCTTGGGTCTAGCCCTAAACCTTAAACCCTACACCCTAAACCCTTTTATTCCTAGGCCACTCTTGTCTTTTTCCTAGGGCTGACCACCAGTAGTACCATGAACAGCATGGAGATTCCTTTGTTCTTTAAGGTGGGTTGTTTGGGATCCCAGCTCCAAACCCTAAGCCCTAAACCCTAAACCCTAAACCCTAAACCCTAAACCCTGCCAACAAAACCCTCAACTCTCCCTTCGTGGAAAGCATGGCTCGACCCGGCCTCTTAGTGCGCATTGCCCCTGGCTATGGAACACGGTATCAGACTTCCACGAGCTTAGCCCATGAACTATACTAGGACTGGGAGTAGGCCCTTTTTCATTTTTGTAGGGTTGGGGTTCCCTTATAATATAAGGGTACCCTTTTTATTCTTAGGTTACTCCCGGGTCTAGTATATAAGCCCCGCTACAACCCACCCATTGCCCCTACAAGACTGGGCGCATGCTAGCTTGAGAAAAACAATCGGCGCATTTCCAATCATCACGCTCAAGCCCCCTAAATCCCAAACGCCAGACCCTGAAAGCAACTCTCAAAACCCCAACCCCTCACACCCTCAGCCGTAAAATCCAAAACTGTAAGCCCTCAAGCCCTACCATCTGACCCTGAGCCGTACAGCCCTCGTTCCTCGAACCAGGCATGAATAAGCTCTACCCCCCGGTTTAAGGGTTTGGGCTTTAGGGTTTAGGAAGCCCCCAACCCCAAGCCCCAAACCCCAAACCCAAAAAAAACCCAGACCCCAGACCCCAAACCCCGAACCCCAAACCCCAAACCCGAAGCCCCAAGCCCCAAGCCCCAAACCCCAAACCCCAAACCCCAAACCCCAAATCCTAAACCCTAAACCCTAAATCCCCCCCCGCCCCGCCCAACACCAAGTCCCGCAAGCGCCGAGGCTGTCGAGTGTGGGTGCACTCCTCGTGCTTGAGCTGGCTTCCCAGAGATGCCTTTGGCTTTAGGGTTTAGGGTTTAGGGTTTAGGGTTTAGGGTTTAGGGTTTAGGGTTTAGGGTTTAGGGCTAGGGTTAGGGTTTAGGGTTTAGGGCTTAGGGTTTAGGGTTTAGGGTGCTGGTTCTTAGTAGCGAACGAGGGAAGTAGGGTCCCAGAACACCCCCTTGAAGGGTATACAGTGGCCTCATTCCCTCATGCCCTACCTTCACGGTTTTATTTTTTTTCAGGGCCTTTGAGCGTTTTGAGGGTTTGAGGGTTTTAGGCTTTGAGGGTTTAGGGTTTTAGGTGTTGATGGTTTAGGCGTTTCGGGGTTTAGGGGTGTAAGGCTTAGGGGATGTGTAGGGTAGCTCACCCCAAAGGTCTTGCACTCTTGGAGAGTCAAGCTTCTTTGGCGTGTTGAGACCAAAGGCTTCGGGAGGGTTTAGGGTTTAGGACTTAGTTTTGTGGCCAGCGGGTCATGAGCTCGTCCACCCAGAAGGACGGCATCCCAGAAGGTACGCCCAGATAAGACCCACGCGCCTCGGCAAATCCTCCCACAGACCCTTGACACTTGCAGAGTTTAGGGTTCAGGGCTTTAGGGTTTAGTGATGTTTAGGCCCTTATTCGCTGTTTATAAGGGTTTGGGTTGCCTTATAACCCCCTTTAAACCAAAAAGGGCACCCCTTCTTATTCCCAGGTTACTCCTGGGTCTAGTAGTTGTTGGCAGGATGCCAGGAACCTCGCCTGCAATGTGGCCTGGCTTCGTGTTCCCCAGACTACGCGATGGCGGTGCTACCAGACAATGTGCTGGGATAGCGAGGCCGAGGAGGTGAGGGAGAATGACCAGGTGTGGCCCTGCAGCATGTACCCCACCGTGTCCTTGCGCAGCACAGTGGATCCTCCGACAAAGGCCGAGTTTCTACTGTGCGGTGGTGAGCTGTCCGCCTTGGGATGATATGGTGGTTCGGCGCAAGTCCTCGCGGATTGACAAGGTAGTTCAGCTTCGAAGGACTGTTGTTCCCTTGCAAGGGTTGCTCATTTGTGGTTGTCCGGCGAGCATGTTGGTGTTGCAGCTTTGAAGCCCAACGACCAGCTTTGCAGCAAGCCCAATGATTCTTAGTAAGGAGTGAGGGAATTAGGGCCCCACATATACCCTCGGGCCCCATATTTCCCCTTTCAGGGATTATGTAGAGTACCTCATTCCCTGCTAAGAACCATAATAAGAACCAGCCAGAAGGTTGCACCACTGTCTTGGTGGCCCAGTGGTACCCTCTACCCTTTTTGTTGGTTCAGTTTTTGTGGTTTATGTTCCAGGGGGGGGCTCAGGGCTTCATATCTTGAAGCCGTCTTAACCGACAAGAAGCTCCCAAAGGCGGAAGCGAAGCCAACTACGAAGCAGCCGCCGTTTAAGGTCTTCTTGACTCAGGGGCCCTAAACCCTAAACCCTAAACCCTAAACCCTAAACCCTAAACCCTAAACCCTAAACCCTAAACCCTAAACCGTTGGGGCGGGGGGGGGGGGGGGGGTTGTCTAGCGTTGTTGGGTTTAGGCTCGTGCTCAGGGCTTCGTGAAGGCTTCTTGGGGGTCGGAAACAGTTAAACCCTAAACCGTAAACCCTAAACTCTAAGCCCTAATCCCAGGGCCTGTAGGGTGAGGCGCTCGAAGAGTCCTTGGGGTCAGCGTCTTGGGTTTGGTGGTTCCCCCCCCCCCCCCCCAACTGCCGAAAACCCTCAACCCCTAAACCCCTCAACCCCCTAAACCCCAGCTGCCGACAGCCAAACTAGGTCTAGGACTTAGAGTAGGCCCTTGTTCCCTTGTTATAGGGTTTGGGTTCCCTTATAACCCCTTTAAACAGGGCACTCATTTTATTCCTAGGTTACTCCTGGGCTTATCCCTAAACCCTACACCCGAAACCCTAAACCCTAAACCCTAAACCCTAAACCCTCCTTATTCCTAGGTTACTCCTGGGTCTAGAGGTGCATTCCGCTGGGCTACGTGTTCTTCAAGCAGTTCTCCAACTTGCCGGTGCGCCGTTTGAAGTGTTAACGTTTGCTTAGGGTTTAGGGTTTAGGGTTTAGGGTTTAGGGTTTAGGGTTTAAAGGTTCAGGGTTCCCCATACCCTGCCCAAGACACAAGCCTGCGACAGAAGGGGCTCGGGGGTAAGTTTTCGGACCTTTTTGGGGTAGCATAGTCCCCTTAAAATCCCAAAGGTTAACCTTTAATTCCCCGAGGTTACTGGACAACTAGGTCAGGGTGTGAGGAGTTCAGGGTTATGAGGCTTCAGCATGAGGCGTGAAACGCAAGACAGAAGCCTGCGGCAAACCCCAGGGGTTTGTAGGGTTTAGGGTTTGGGGTTTAGGGTTGGGGTTTAGGGTTTAGGGTTAGGGTTTAGGGTTTAGGGTTTAGGGTTTAGGGTTTAGGGTTTAGGGTTTAGGGTTTAGGGGTTAGGGGTTAGGGGTTAGGGGTTAGGGGTTAGGGTTTAGGGTTTAGGGTTTAGGGTTTAGGGTTTAGGGTTTAGGGGTTAGGGTTCAGGGTTCAGGGTTCAGGGTTCAGGGTTCAGGGTTCAGGGTTCAGGGTTCAGGGCAAGTTTTAAGTGTTTTGTGGGTTTAGGGTTTGTAGGATGCGCACGGACGGCTCCCCTAGTTGTACGCAAGTTTGTAGGGTTTTGAGGCCAGGGTTTGAGATCATCCTAGTTCTAGACTTACCAGTTCTGAGTCAGTAGAGAATTGGGGAACTTGGTATCCTGACATGATCCTTAGAAGAGTAGCTTTGGGGTACATATGGTCCTCAAAACGCCATCGAAACCAAAAGCAGCACCCTGCAAAACCCTAAACCCTAAACCCTAAACCCCTAAACCCTAAACCCCTAAACCCTAAACCCTAAACCCTAAACCCTAAACCCTATAAACCCTAAACCCTAAATGCGACGACGAAGGCTCAGAGGCATTCCGGGCCTTGGGCTCTGAAGGGGCGTAAGAGTATAGGGTTTAGGGTTTAGGGTTTAGGGTTTAGGGTTTAGGGTTTAGGGTTTGGGGTTTTGGGTTTTGGGTTTTGGGTTTGGGGCTATTGGCAATTCATCTTTCGCTGCACAATAAGGGAACCTGAAAGCCTAAACCTTAAACCTTAACCACGGAAGGTTTTAATTGACCCATGGTGTTGGCCGGGGGGGGGGGGGGGGCCTAATCCCTGAAACCCTAAACCCTACACCCTACAAAACCCTTGAGCCCTGAAACCCTAACACCCGAAACCCTACAAACCCTAAAACCCGAAGCCCTAAAGCCCTGAAACCCCAAAACCCTAGAACACCGAAACTCTAACCTAAAATCCGAACACCCTGAAACCCCTGCACCCTAAGAAGCCCCAAACTTCGCAGAAAATCAGCATCGTCAACTGCGTCTCCACCTTTGTCATTATTGGCGTGGGCTGGCGCCTCAGGAAGGGGCGTGCCTAGGGTTTAGGATTTACGGTTTAGGGTTTGGGCACCTGGATCTTAAGTTGCAATTGCCCGAATAACTTGGCCACTGGGCGAACAGGATGAGTCCATGTTTTCTATAGGGGGATGAGTCCATGTTTTCTATACCTATAGAGGCAGCTACTCAAAATACAGTTTAAGTTTTGGTGAAGTAAGGCCCTGGGTTGATCTCTGAGTGCTTCGGACTCAACAGCATGTGGGCTTCTCCTACGATCGATGCTACTTCGTAGTAGTCGCTACGTTTTCTCAGCCTTCCTGTTCCCTAGGTTCTTCCCAGCTTGGATCCCCTGTGTTTTCGCGTCTTTATTCGTTTAGGGCAAAAGGTGTTGGGGGTTTACGGGCTTAGGGTGCTTTAGGATTCTTAGGCCATGTCAGTGTTTCTTTCTTTGGTGGCTAGGCTCATGGATTGCTTATGGGCTTAAGGCTCCTGGATGGCTTATGGGCTTATGGGTCCTAGGAGGTTCAGGTTTCGGGTTAGGGTTTAGGATTGAGGGTTTCGGGCGGCACAAGAGCCCCCCCAACGACCCGACTGCTTTTCAGAGTTCATGTAGCCCTGAAGGCCCAAACCCCCAAGCTAGGTTTTCTAGGGTTAGGCTTTAGGTTTTGGCTTCGAAGCCCTAGAGCCCGAAACCCTCGCCTGAAACCCTAAGTCCTCAACCCTATTCGGCTTTCTTTGAAGACACCCTGACAAGCCCAGGGGTGAGGGGTGGATTGCAACCCTCCCCCTGAACCACCAACCCTGCGCGTCACTTACCCCCAAACCTCCCACCCCCGCAACCCCCGAAAAGCCTCAAAGTGCAAACATCCCGTAAACTCAAGACCCCAAACCTACATGCAACAAGTGCTTGAGACCTACGCCTTAAGCCGAAGCCTCAACCCTAAGCCCAACAAAGGGTACCTGCATGTTTAATATGGTAGCTGGGCTACCAATCTGATCATCCCGCAGCCCTACAAACCCTAAAAAGAAGCCTGGGCCTAGACCGCAGTGGCCCTGTGCTTATGAAATCCCAACGAAGCTGTTGTCCGCGCTGCGGCTCGCGTGCGTCATGGATGCCCAGACCTCCCGGCAGAAGGTCAACAGCGACCCTTCTTGGGAGGTTCAGAGTACTTAGTTGCCAACTAAACGTGTAGTTGTAAGTGGGTTAGGGTTTTTATTGGGTTGTAAGTACAGGTATGACTGGGTTACTAAGTACCCTGAACTTCCACCAAGTATCTGGAGCCTATGAAGAATGTGATCGTGGAGACTGGCTTGCAGAAGTAGGCCATTTGCCTCATGGCAGGGCCCAGGCTGGACCTGCTGCATGGCCTGCAGATCCGGGCAAATACCTTGTTCAAGGGTGATCATCACCGTGTGGCGATCAGATGGTGAGAGGACCGGTGCAGAGCAAGAAATCTCAGCCTGGATGGCTGCTGGTCATCAAGATCGACTGCGGTCTAAGAACGAGCGGCTCGCCTCCTCTATGGATCGCCTGCAGCACCGCGCGCACGGCTCGGAGATGACGTTTAGGGTTTAGGGCTTGGGGTTCAGGGTTTAGGGTTTAGGGCTTAGGGCTTAGGGTTTAGGATCGCTTCAGAGGAGCCCCCCCCGGCAAAATCCCCTAACCCTAAACCCTGAACCCGCCCAAACCCACTAAACCCTAACTAATATCAAAGGTTGGGACCATGGGCCCTTAGTATGGTCCCTTGCCCTTGTTTATAGGGATCCGAAGCATGGGCCATTGTTATATAGAGTGTACATATGGGTTATATAACAAGGGGCCCAAATTCAGAGCCCAAATTACCACACCCTACAAACCCTGAAAAAACCCTGAGCCCTAAAACCCTAGCCCTAAACTCTTAACCCTTAGAACTCCAAGCCCTAAACCCTAAACCCTAAACCCCAAACCCTAAACCCTAAACCCTAAACCCCAAAAAAAGTCAGGCTCAGACCTCGTCTTCCTCCTCACGGACGCGTGGCGCCAAAGCGCCAACCGCGCGACCGTCCCGGAGGAGGAGCCTGAGGCGGGAGTTTAGGTTTTGGAGGGGTTCAGGGGATTCAGAGGGGTAAGGGTTTAGGGTTTAGGGTTGAGGGTTTAGGGTTTAGGGTTAGGGTTGAGGGTTTAGGGTTTAGGGTTTAGGGCGCTTGAAGGTTCTGGGTTTTGCTGCTTAGAGGTTTAGGGGTTCAGGGCCCAGGGCCTATCTGGGATTTATGGGGGGAAGCTTTGGGACTTTTGGGTTTCAAAACAGCTGAAATGTTTAGGGATTTTGAATGAAGCCCTGCACCCTAAAGACTGAAGGTTTTAGGTCCTAGGGCCTTTGGGTTTCAGCGCTTCGGGATTTAGGGATGGGTTTGGGGTTTGTTGGGCCATGGTCGTTTGCCGGGCGCTGTTTACTGTAAGCTTTTGCTACTGTTTGGTTAAGCCCGATGACAATCCCTACACTATCCTTACAGGGAAGTTTTTTGGGTGGTTCTTGAGCAAGAGCAGTTTAGGAAGGCCCCAGAAG